AGTTTTTCAACTTTCCCTACCTCAACCTTAACCTTAACATGGTTCATACGAAAACTCTCATTTTCTTATGACTATGTATGAGTATGACAGGAACATATTCACGCATAAGCTGCATGGTTCACCAACTTGGTTCCATGTCGGAGCTGAAACAAGTCCAAGCCATGATCACCAAATCAGGCCTTCAGTCTCACCTTCCCTTCACTACCAAGTTAATATTCTTTTCTGCACTTTCTCCGATGGGAAACCTCTCCCATGCTCACTCCCTCTTCCTACAAACTTCCATGCACAGCTCCTTCCTTTGCAACACCATCATTCGAGCCTTTGCCTACTCTCCCTACCCCCTCCAATCTCTACACGTCTACAACCACATGCAAACCTCCAACGTTGTCACCGACCATTTCACCTACAACTTTGTACTCAAGGCTTGTTCCAAAGCACACAAATTTGTCCAAGAATTCGGCACGTGTGATGAGTTCATCCTTGTCTCCAAAGGGTGTGAAATTCACTGCACGGTTCTCAAACTGGGGTTTCATCAAGACCCCTCTATACAGAACTCTTTGCTCTATATGTACTCCCAATGCGGGTTACTCCATGTTGCCCAACACTTGTTTGATGAAATCAGTAACAGAAGTTTGGCTTCTTGGAACATCATGATATCGGCGTATGATCGTGTCAAGGATTCTGAAGCGGCTGATTGCCTTCTTGAATCAATGCCACAAAGGAATGTTGTTTCATGGAACACTGTGATTGGGAGGTACATTAGGTTAGGTGATATTGAGGGTGCAAGGAGGGTGTTCCATGGTATGCCTGAGAGGGATGTTGTGTCATGGAATTCTATGATTGCTGGTTGTGTGTCTGTTAAGGATTATGCAGGAGCGTTGGAACTGTTTTCTGAGATGCAAAAGGATGAAGTAAAACCGACGGAAGTAACGTTTATTTCAGTTCTGGGTGCCTGTGCTGAAACTGGTGCTCTGGAAATGGGAAGCAAAATACACGAGTCTCTCAAAAGGTGTGGGCATAAAATTGAAGGGTATTTAGGAAACGCCCTTCTGAACATGTATTCTAAATGTGGGAATTTGAGTTCAGCTTGGGAGGTATTTAATGGAATGAGGATAAAACCTGTGAGTTGTTGGAATGCTATGATTGTTAGTTTGGCTGTCCATGGTTACTGCGAGGAAGCTCTGCAGTTGTTTTCAGAGATAGAACATGGGTTTCGTACTGTTAGGCCGAACCGGGTAACATTCCTTGGTGTTTTGATTGCTTGTAGTCACAAGGGTTTGGTAGATAAAGCAAGATGGTATTTTGATCATATGGTGAAGAAGTATAAAATTCTGCCTGATATCAAGCATTATGGTTGCATGGTTGATCTTTTAAGCAGATTTGGTTTGTTGGGAGAGGCACATCAGATGATTAAGACTGCTCCTTTCCAAAATGGTGGCATTTTATGGAGAACATTGCTGGGTGCTTGTAGGACACAAGGTAATGTGGAGTTGGCTAAGGTGTCTTTTCAACAACTTGCCAAATTGGAGGGTCTAACAGATGGAGATTATGTGTTGTTATCTAACATTTATGCTGAAGCTGAGAGATGGGATGAGGTTGAGCGAGTCAGGAGTGAAATGATTTGCTTGCATGTTCCCAAGCAAGTTGGGTACAGCCAAATCGATGTGACTGAATCTGATAAGCTTTCTGAACAAACTATTGGCCTCCTCCTGAAACTTGATATTTCTTAGCTTTGTCCATATTGTGGGGACAGTCAAAGACTCTGGTATGACTTCATTTCTTCATGTGATACTGTTACTCTTGTTTATTTTCATCTTTTATAGAAAAACTTAAGTGAGTGTAATTTGCGTTTACTCCAAAATCTGAAAGGATTAGAACGTGTTCTTACCTGTTAATCCTGTAGTTTTATAAAATTCCATTTTGTTTCTTGAGTACTGATATTTTTTCTGCTTTATTCTCCAGTTTATGATTGGATGCAATTTATTCCCATCTTGTTTATAAGGACTAGAATACATTCAATCGGATAGTAAGGAGGTTAGATTGAAAAATAAAAATTAAATTAAACGAATGTGAATAACTCTCAGAGACTTGAATTATACTAAGTTTGCTTTCTGGTAAATTGCTTTATGTTCGAAGTTGGCTGCAGATGAGGATGAGTTTTATATCCCATTTTCTTTCATCGGAGAAACAGTAATGTCGTTCCCATACTTCTTAGGCACCATGAAAGGAATCTAAGCTTAAATTAGAAAAGGATCCTGAAGGGCTTGCACCTAATCTCGATCTTAATCCACCTAACTAGGAAGGCTCTTTTGGGAACATATAAAGATGATTCAGGAGGTAAGTGACGCACATGCTAGTGGTTTTCTGTGGCATTTTCTTTTGTTATATTGTTACTTGTGCTCTTATATACTTATGCTCTACATTGGTAATTCTAACAGAATGTCACTTGAATATGGAGGTTCAATTACATCAAGAGTAATGTGTGCTACTCCAACATCAATGACCATTGTGATTTGGCTAGCATCGTTCACATGAATTTAGAGTTCTAGCTGAAGTCCTGACAGCTTAAATGGCATATCAAGAAATTGACCATGGCAAAACAGTGCTTACTTCATAGTCTACACAGTACTGGTAAATGTTCTTAAAAATCTGATCCAAGGTATAACAAGGTTCCAAGAAATGAAAGAGATGCCTTGGAGTGCCATCCAATATGCAAAGAATATGCTGTTGCGGCAAAAGTCATCTTCTGATCCAAGAGAAGAGTAACGACATGTAATCTTCAAAACTTCCATTTGAATCAGGGAGATCGCTCGAGACAAGATATTTATCTTGTTATCATTTTTCTCCTCTCGTTTGCTAGAGATTAGGTTTCTTTACTTGAAAGCATTGTATCAGAAGAGTTACACCACGCTGAAGAGCAAAGACTAAGGTGGGTGTATTGGATTAGAATTTTAAAAGACTTTTTTAGTTAAAAAAAATCCTGCGGATTTTAAAAGACTTTGCAGGATTTTCATGACTTTTAAGATTTTGCAGGATTCTATCAGACTTAAAATCAGGATTTTAATAGATTCTGCAAGACTTTTAAATCAGGATTTTAATGGATTCTGTGGGATTTTGTGAATTTTGTAGAATTTTCGTGGATTTTTGACATTTGATAAGATTTCAAAAAAAATTTCATACATTCAAATTTAAAAAGAGTCAAAAACAAAAAATAAAAAAAAAAATAATAATGTCTAGATAAATAATAATAATAATAATTCTCCATATCTTATCCTCTTAAATAACATTCACCCACATATCTATAACTATACTAGTCCTCTAAATATTAGCGTCTTTTCGCTCTTGCTCCTGGGTTTAAATAATAGGTTCAAAAAGTATGATCTTCATTAACTGGTAACGTTGGAGATGAAGGTTCATCCATCGCTTTAATTGGAAATTCATCAGAACGATATTCTTTATGTAGAAAGTTATGTAATGTTGCACATACTAACACAAGTTCTACTTGTGTCTTAAATAAAAATGGAGATGCTGACTTAAAAATTGTGAACCTTGATTTAAAAATACCAAATATTCTCTTGATCACATTCCTTAAAGACGCATGACGAAGATTGAACAATTCTTTCTCATTTTCAAGGTCATTACCCTTACCTGCAAAATCTTGTAGATGATATCTTACACTTCAAAATAGAGCTAAAAATTGGCGTCGATTAATTCAAAAAAAAATATTTACCTAATTACATATGCAATATATATAATATTAGTATAATAATAATAATTATAATTATTATTATTATTTAAAGAATATAAGCATTTAGATATATAGAATATATATATATATATATATATATAAATTAT